TTTGGAAATGCTCCTGCCTGAATTCCTGGAGAGCCAATGCCTATCTGGATGGACAATGTTGAGCTAAATGGACAGATGGTCTGACTTGGTATGTGGCATCTTCCCAAGTAACCTAGGTCTTAAATAGGCACCGACTCCCAAAGTCATTTAGGGTTACAGGGCGTACTACTAGTGTATTATGATATTTCAGCTGACTCTTGTTAGGCAGTAATTATTAAAGAAGTTTTAATTACCTGAAGCTGTGACTTGATTAGGAAGCAACTAAAACTTCTATCAAGAGAGGAATAATCTGGAATTATCTCACAGTGAAAGGAACTTTGAACCTGGCTTATACCTTATGCACTGGTATATTCTATAATGACTAAGAGTAAATCTCCAGGAATTGAGACAGGAGAAAATCCCAGCCCTATCTGGAGCCATGGAAGATTGAATCTTGAACAGTCTTTTTGCCAAGCGATGTTCTGCCAGTGAACTGTGGCCCTTTCTGATCCTGATTTAGCATATCAGTGATGTAGACAATAGAGAAATAGGAAACTGCATTATGCTGAATCAGACCAGTGTCAGTAACTCTCTAGGTTTTCAGGATGGAGTTCAGGGAATTAAGAACTATCCCTCTTTCGGTTGGAACACCTTTTTCAACACCCATTTCAACGTTGTAGGCAAGATCGGCAAATAGTAGACCACATTCACGCTACGTATATGAATCCAAGTGTGACTGTCACTATCCTCTAGCAAGAAACAGGAAAAACAGATTTCAGCAAATCAAAATTTGGAAGAGTGACTTTCATTGACGACATGTTCTGTGATAGGGTTTATTGCCACTAAACATTTAAAGCACTGCTATGCCACTTTAAACTTCCATGGTTTCCCCCAAAGAATCTTGGGAACTGCAGTATTTAGGGAGTACTGAGAACTGTTAAGAGACCCTTATTTCCCACTCATAACTACATTTCCTAGAGTCCCTGTGAAAGAGGGATTATAGCTTTGCGAAGGGAATAGGGGGTCTTGAAACAGCACCCTTCACAAACTGCAGTTACCAGGATTCTTTGGGGGGGGGATCCATGGCTGCATAAAGTGGTATATTACTGCTTGAAATGTATGGTGCAGATGGATTCTGAAAGTGGGAATGGGGGATAAGAAAGTCCCAACTATTCAAAGTTCAAAGACCCTTCTGTCTGTACTCATCTCCACCTCATCTCCCACGTGGTCTCCAATTAGGGTGACAATAGGCACACCTGATACCAACTGCCTTTCAGCACTAGAGCTCAGAGGAGGTAATTATATTTCTCTACAATTATCCACATCATCATAATTAGTTCAGTGCAACTTCGGTTTTCCAGAAGACAGTAGAAACAACATCAATAAGTAATTCAGAAGTGTCTATAAAACCTTCCTTTTATGACATTTAGAGCTGGGATGAAGGCAGGAGCCCAGCAGGGCTCTGTCAGATTGAACTGAGACAGCTCCCCACACTCAGCACCTTTCATTATATGCTTCTGGCTTCAAATCCATGTGTGCTTCCTGTCATTCAAACCTTGCTTTTCCATGTTTCTTTTTGCATTGTATATTGGAAGTGTGTGTTGGTATGAATTGTCAGCTTATTTTAAAACCTGATACTGGTGCTAGTGGTGATACCATAGGTGGACACAGGAGGATCGGCTCAAAAGAAATGTTTTTCTCAAAAATGGTCACACTTCTTCTTCTGGTGCTGCTGCTTCTGCCTCTGAAGGAGTGCAAAATAGATGCCATGAAGTGTCCTGGAATGGACTCCTTCCCTGTTCCCCATGAGTGGCATCGTCTTGGAACCCTCCTCATTGGTGGGATTGCCTCTCAGATACTTTATATTTCTCCTAAAATTTCCTTCCAGGTATATCCTTCTCAGGAGCTGGGCTTTGAGTTTCCGATGTAAGGACCCCCTCTTTACATTTCATATTATTTGAGCCAGGAAATGTAGGGTATGTAAAATACAAGAAATAGCCTTAAACAACAACATCTACCTCAGCAAATTTCTTTATTGCACAGTCATTAACACTTTCCATTTTTTCCATTTGCAGTTTGTCTAACTATTTATCTGCCTAGCTACATATATGCTTAGAGTTCTTTGTCTAGTGTCTCTAGAGGGGAAAGAGGTTGTGGTGAACCATATTGAGAGGCATCAGGGGAAAAATGAGGAGGAATGATGATGATGATGATGATGGCTTCCTGGAAACTATCCATATGATTTTCTTTTTAAGAAAAACACTCCCTCCCTGATGAAAAATGCTAAAATAGTTTTCCAAATTCAACCACATTTAAGAGGTCAGTTTTCAACCTGTCAGGGAAGAATTGGTCATTAATTCATCATAAAGCATTCACTTTACATCAATAAGTTCTTAGCTTCAGTTCCTGGAAACTGCTAGCATGGTTAACAGAAAAACGTTGGATAGCTACTTTGGATAGCTACACAAATACATCATATATTATGCCATCTATCTGTGGCTATACCTGCACTACATACTTAAAGTTTGTTCATACCGCTTTGAACAGTCTTAGCTTCTTCCAAACCATCCTGGGAACTGTAGCTGCTTAGTGACACACTCAAGAAAGGTTTAATAAACAATCCCTCTTTCCAGGGAACTGTGGGAATTGTATCTCTGTGACAGGATTAGGGTCTCCCAACAATTCTTAGCACCCTTAACAAATTCCAGTTCCCTTATGTCTCTGTGGGAAACCATTAGAGGTAAAATGTGGATGTAGTCTGTCTGTCTTATCTGTCTTTCATTACATGGCATATATATTTCCAGATGGTGCCTCTTTTCAGTTGCCATTCGCTTTCCCCCCACTGCCATCTCTCTTTGCTTTATCCTCCCTTCTGTTTCCAGTAACTTTTGAAGCTCCTGACTTGCAGCCATAATAATAGGTTTTGACAACAGTGGAGAAGCATTATTATACTATATTTACATAGGAGTATTTCAAAATGTTGGTTGTGTTGTGCAAACCAGCATGGTCCTTGAGCACCGACAAAACCATTGTGCACAGTGCAGAACTCCTTTTTGAAAGGACATATAACTCTATTTGCAGCATGGTGACCAAGTTCTACCAGCACATCCTGGCTTTGGCATTTGCCATCAATGAAATCAACGAGAACCCTAAGATTTTGCCCAATGTCACACTTGGGTTCCACATCTACGACAGCTACTATCAGGAGAAGATATTCCACCGCACTATTCTAGACTTGCTCTTCAAATCAGACCGGTTTGTCCCCAACTATGCATGTGGCACCCAGAAGAACTTAGTAGCCATTATTGGGGCACTTGGCTCTGATATCTCCTTCCACATGGCAGATATCTTAGTCCTCTACAAGATCCCACAGGTAACGAGGGGCTGGAGTTTGCACTAATATTATAATTGATGCATGTTTTCTAATACCGAGTGTGATTATGTGGTTATGATGGGAGAGGAAAACTAAGTAGAAAGTATTTTCTGTATAATATCTGAAGTTCCAAATCAGAATGAGAATGACTTCTGAAAGTTTGGTGAACATTTCAAAGGGCAGAGTCAGGTGATTCTAGCAGATTCTTTTGAAACAAATCATGTCCATTGCTCAGACATTACATGGGGTGTTAGGGGAGGGGTAGTGCCTCTGATGAGGGATATGTCATGCTTCTCTTGGGGTAGTTAGAGTCCCCACCCTTTGGTCCCCACCCTGCACTCAGCTCTCACCAGTGGCTCCTAGAAGGTGTCAGTATGCAACAGCGGCCACAACCAAGAATGTCTTCAACTGACTGGATAAGTCAAGTGAGGGTAGCTGATAGGTCTCAAATCACCAGTGACTGGAGGACTTCAACCTGCAAGAAAAGACAGGCTCTGGCAGATTGAGAGGACGAGAGGAATAATGGATCCAACAGCCAAGAAGGCAGTTTCTGCACATGCTGTAGGAGGAAGTGAGGAGCAGATGGGGCTTGTCAACCTGGGAAGGTAGCCCATCTAGGACAAGGAAAACTCTGGTCCTAAAACTCCACCGCCTTGTTTGATATCTTTCTGAGAAGAAAAGGCTACACAAATCAAGAGTGGAGTCGCTAAGTCAGTTGGATGGTGTTTTGCATGCCTCCTGCAGTCAAGCTGGTGCCAAACATATTGATCTGCTTTCTTTTGGACCACATTGGTGAGACCAGGGGGGGGGGGTGTCTTGTCATCTGGGCAGCCCAGGACCCATGAACACACTGCCCAGGCTTGTGCCCCAGGAAGGTCATTTTGCTGCTGCTAATGCAGTGTTTCAACATCTCCCCAGGAGAAGAGCCACCAACTCCAGGGGCCCCTGGGGGGTCTCAGCACCCACAAAATAATTTCTGTGGCTGCGCAGCCTCTGCCCCCCCCTTTGGGAGTCAGTACTCCCAAAGTGCTGACTCCCCCCTCCTGCTAGCTGTACCCACAGCCAAACAGAAGGAGGTTGCAGTCGGACAGAATTCTGAGGCACTAAATCACCAAACTTTGGTCTGACTGAGCTTTCTGCCACAGAGTTGTTGAAGTTAACACTGCAAAAGTAGAAACTCTCTGTAAAAAGGAACTCAAACAAAAATGCACTCAGCTGTAATACTATAAGGGAATATGAAAAATGGATTATTAATAGGCAAAAATTTAACGTTACAATATTTTAAGATCAATGATTAGGATAAACAAAGAGGGTAAGGATTTGCTGAACCAACAAACTGAACTGGAATACAAAAAAGGGAGGCGTGAGGAGGTCTGGGAAATAAGCTAATGAAAAATAGGTAATGGAAAGAATGAGTTGTTTTTAACCATTTTTATTTTGTATTTTGTATTTTTTATTTTTTACTTTGTAATACTTTGAAAATTTTAATAAATATCTTATAAAAAAAAACAAAAACAAAAATGCACTCAAGTATGCCTAGTAACAAAGCTCTAAAATATTTGCATTTTTTAAAAAAATTGTTTAGCTTACATACGGAGCATTTGCCCCAGAAGAGGGTCATACAAAACAGGTCCGTTCCTTTTACCACATGGCACCCAGTGAAAACCAGCAGTACACAGGAATTATTCTTCTGCTTCAGCATTTTGGGTGGACCTGGGTTGGGCTCTTTGCTGTGGATGATGACAGTGGAGACCATTTCTTGCATATCATAGAGCCCCTGTTTTCTCAGAATAAAATTTGTTCAGCTTTCATTCAAAGAATCCCAAACCAGGGGGATTTCCTTTCCTTTGATGAATTTGTTGATATGGGATGGAGTATTAACGTGCCTTTCATGGAGAGCAAAGCCAAAGCATTTGTCACTTATGGTGAAACTATGACCTTCATGTGGTTGACCACCATTGTAGCTTTTTTAATCCCCGACTTGGGGAAAAACACATCTGCTGGAAGAGTGTGGATTATGACAGCTCAGATAGATTTTTCTGTAACATTCATTTTAAGGAGATGGAACTTTCAAATATTCGATGGCACAATATCCTTTGCAATTCACTCGAATGAGCCTCGTGGATTCCGCACATATATCCAGAACAAAAAAACTCATCCTCCCAAAGAAGATGGATTTTTCAAGGTTTTTTGGGAGCAGGCATTTGAATGTTCTTTCCCAAATCCCAGGTTGCCAGCAAAGTTGAGCATAACATGTACTGGAGAAGAGAGACTGGAGAGCCTTCCCAGGTCTGTGTTTGAAATGAGCATGACTGGCCACAGCTACAATGTCTATAATGCTGTCTATGCCATAGCTTATGCGCTGCATGCCATGGAATCCTCTTGGATCAAATACAGAGCAGTGATGGGGTTTGCAAGGCTTGACCTTCACAGTGTTCAACCTTGGCAGGTAATATTTCCTCAGTGAAATGGCTTCATTATAATGAAGTAATCAGCATGAAATAAAAGAGCATGTCTCACCAATGTAGTGATGCATTTCTTGTTGTCATTCTTATTGGCTTGTGCCTAAAGGACCTTATAACAATGTTCTTCACTCTTGGGTCCTGTGTGTGTGTGTGTGTGTGTGTGTGTGTGTGCTCATGCACATATGAAAAATATATGAAAAATTTGAATAGCAAGGAACATATTCATAAAACTACACCAAAAAAGGAGACTCCACTATATTCCCTGTTTTCTTCCCACCAGCTCCACCCATTTCTTCAAGGCATTTCATTTAACAACTCAGCTGGAGAAAATGTGTCTTTAAATGATTGTGGAGAATTAATAGCCAGCTTTGATATCATGAGCATGGACCTATTCCCAAACAATTCCTTCCTTAAAATGAAAGTTGGAATGGTGAATCTGAATGCTGGTGAAGGGAAACAGTTCATCATTAATGACAAATTCATTGTGTGGCACAGGAGCTTTAATCAGGTGTGGATTCTTCGATACTCTGGGCAAGAACTCCAGTATCAGTGTAGACAATTCAGGATAGGTGATTGGGGTAGAGGTGGGGCTAAAAGTTTCCTTTACTAACTAACTTTACCATGTACTGATCTCATGATAGAGTTGCTGGCACCTATTGCATTCTAGAACTTATGCAGCAAATAAATGAAAGCAATTTAATATGCTCTGTACAACATGCTAAATGGGAATATTTACCAGGCCCTTTTCAACTGAGCCTGAGTAGGACTGAGCAGGAGAAAGATAAACCCTGAGTGAGGTGGTGGGTGGGCTTGAGGGGGGGGATTATTTTTATTGATGGCTTTTCACTTTCATTTTCAACCACCCTGAAGGCACTGTTGATTGGGTATTATATAAAGATCTCATTATAGTAACAGAAATAGAATGAGTCCTGAAATCACAAATAACATGTATCAAAAGCCCTGGAAAAAAGATGTTCCTTCAGCCTCCAATGAAACCTCTATAATGAATATTCCAGGGGAGGAATTTCCACAATTGAGTGGCTTCCACAGAGAATGCTGTTTCCCAAGCCAACATCTCCCCCACTTCTGAGTACAGTGGCATTGCCAAAGAGGCCCCTTCTTCTGATCTTAATACCTGAGAGTTCTGTAAAGAAGCAGATAGTGTTGCCTATGTTGTTTGCAGCTTTTGACACACCTTAAATGCAGCCCAGAGATGAACTGGCAATCCATGCAGCTGTTTTAGAAATGGGGATTCTACGTGCTCTGAAGGAAACCCTAGCTAGCCAGTAACCTGGCTGTTGCTTTTTGGATCAGGTGGCATATCATGTCAGGAGTTCAGCCTACACTCGAGTAGGACCCTGGCAGAGGCACATGCTCGACTGGTATGTTCCCTCTCTCCTGGTCGATCGTTCAGGAGCTTCATAAGCTTTCTTCAGCCTGAACATCACAGCGACTGATGCCAACTGACACTGGAACACTTAGGGATCCACAGAGTCTGCACAGTTGCATAACAGACCTCAGCAACTCAGCATTCTGGCTAATCTACTTCATTTACATATAAACACACAGAGAAATCTTCAAGGGCAGCCCCATACAGAATGCATTGCAGCTATCCAATATAGAAGTACCATAGTCAATTAATTTCTCTGTAAAATGGGGCAGTAGTTGGCCAACCAGCCATAACTGAAAATAAGCACTCACTGCTAGCCACCATGGCCACCTGGACCTCAAATGTCAAAGTTGGATCCAGGAGTACGCCCAAGTAAAGAACCTGCTCCTTCTAAGGGAGTGCAACTCCATTCACAACAGGCCATCTTCCCTCCTCCATAACCAGAGAACTTGGAACACATAACACCTCCACACCTCCCTCTCTCTCTCTCTCTCTCTCTCTCTCTCTCTCTCTCTCTCTGAATTCAGTTATATGAATGGCCAAAATCAAGAAAAATGCCACATTAATTTTGAGGGGGGGGAGAGATATGGCTGCAGCTGTGCTATTTTGTAGGAGAACACCTGATTTGGGGGGGGGGGGATCCTGTAGCACTGTGGAGCAAAATGGCTCTGGATCAGCAAATGATTATTCTAGCATCACTGCTGCTTCTTTCCTGAGATAGCAAAATCCAACATCGCAAAATATGAAGAACATTTAAGGCCTCACCCAATAAATCCCCTCTCTACCTTTGTAGCTTGATAGTGGATCTGTGAAGGTCACACCCTCCAACATGCCCAGAAGGAAAACCAGGATGTGCGTCTTTTGGGCCACGCTCCTTGGTGAGCCAGGTGAGATGCGCAAGAGCATGGTGCCCCAAAATGTATGTCTTTCAGGGCCATGGTCTCATGGGAGACATCCCAGGAGCCAATCAGAAGCTGGGATAGCTTCTGTAATTTTCAAGATGTCCCACTTTAAATGGGATAGTTGAGGAGTATGTAAAGTGAGATTCCCAGCTTCCTTCTAGTATACTAGTCTACTATTTTCTTGTTTCTTTGCCTGCCAGTAAATGAAGATTCTCCCCTGCCCCTGGTGCCCTACACACAATTTTTCCAACTCCAGTCTCTCTTCATTGCCCCTAACAGGTGGTGCCTATTTCTGTATGCAGTGATTCCTGCCCTCCTGGTTATCAGAAGAAAAAGAGAGAAGGGGAGAAGTTTTGCTGCTATGATTGTGCTCCCTGCCCAGAAGGGAAAATATCGGACCAAAAAGGTAGTTGATGCACTTCACCAATTATTCTAGCCAACAATTTGCCATTTGTGTGTGTGTTTTGAGCACTTTTGCAAATACTCAGGAAGAAAAGGTGACATAAAGATTGGCCACACTGGCCATTTTCCAAACTGCAGGATCTGATTCTGCCTGTTCAAGCCAATGGAGGCTTTGTATTTTGGTTAAGCTGAGCTGGAACCTCCAGCCCCCAAAATTACAGAAATCATTCTTCCACTGAAGTCTGTTGGGTTAAGAGCATGTTCAACAGTGGGTTTACTTTTGCCCTGTTCTTATCATTTTTTTGACAGTGTCAATAGGATGTTCTGGGCCCAGTGCACTGATGCTGGATTGGTCTCTTGGCCAACTCCCTGCAGCAAAAGTAGGATACAAATATAATAAGAAGATGTCAGAATGACCAACAAATCCCACATTGAACAGCGTTCTAAGGATGAGACTCAATTTACATAGAAATTGGCACAATGACGGATCCTTTCTTTTTTTCAGACATGGATGAATGCTTTAAATGCCCAGATGAGCAGTATCCAAGCCAGAGTAGAGACAGATGCATCTCCAAAGTTATGACATATCTATCTTATGAAGAATATTTGGGGATCAGTTTTAGTTTGGTTTCTGTTTCTCTTTCATTCATCACAGCTTTCGTGCTGCGAATTTTCATCAAGAACAGAGATACCCCTATAGTCAAAGCCAACAATCGGGACATCAGCTACATTCTCCTTGTCTCCCTCCTCCTCTGCTTCCTCTGTTCTTTGCTGTTTCTTGGAAGACCTACAAAGGTGACCTGCATTCTCCGTCAAACTACTTTTGGCATTGTCTTCTCTGTAGCTGTTTCTTGTTTGCTGGCCAAAACCGTCACGGTAGTTGTCGCCTTCATGGCCACAAAGCCAGGGTCAAGCATGAGGAAATTGGTGGGCAAAAAACTGACCAACTCCATTGTCTTTTCCTGTTCTCTTATTCAAGTAGGAATCTGTGTAGTGTGGCTGGCAACCTCTCCTCCATTCCCAGATTTGGACCTGCAATCCCAGGCTACAGAGATCATAGTTGAATGCAATGAAGGTTCTGTCCTCATGTTTTATCTTGTCCTGGGCTACATGGGCCTTCTAGCCATCATCAGCTTCAATGTGGCTTTCCTGGCCAGGAAGTTGCCGGACACTTTCAACGAGGCCAAATTTATCACCTTCAGCATGTTGCTCTTTTGCAGTGTTTGGCTGTCCTTTGTCCCTACCTACCTGAGCACCAAGGGGAAATATATGGTAGCAGTAGAGATCTTCTCTATCTTAGCCTCTAGTGCCGGGCTCTTGGGTTGTATCTTTGGACCTAAATGTTACATTATTCTGCTGAAGCCTAATTTGAACATTAAGGAACAACAGATAAAGAAAAATTATTAAATTATGTCATAATATGATTTCATTATCATTATATTATATTTTATTATATTATAATTACCATTATATTTCATTACATTATAATGCTAATCTGATATTAATTTTGCATTTCTTGTGAGGTGTTTGTGGCAATGGAAACTGTGGACCTCCCATATCAGTTAGTTCAGGATATAATACCAGCTGATTCATTTCATTTTTGTCACATATCTGAACAAATTCAAGAAATAAAAGTATTATTTAATAATGAAGGCTAAGACTGTTCATTTTCAACTTTTGCAACCAAACTGAAAAACAAAAGAAGCAGGGAGACAAATTTATCAGGTTACATTTTAAAATACAACAATAAGTGCAGTTTCAAAATTTACAATTAAAAAGTGCACATATTAGCCACATTGTTTTGGGTGGGATGCCTGAGAGAAAGGGACAAATGGGGGAGATGGGGAAAGGACATTGTCTCTGAACAGATGTTTAGCATTGGAACAGGAAGATCTGGAATAGTTCACTGCAGGCTGGAGCTTGGCCAAAGAATGACAGCTGTGGATCATTGATATTTCCCTTCCTTTATGCATCTGTTCTGTACCATGCCTTTCTGGTTTGTGGCTCTTTGATGCCATCTCTTGTGAGGATTTGCCACCAAATGGAAGGGTTTTTGTCTGAGGTCTACTGGGATCTCTCTCACTGTGAATCTTGCACAGTAATTGACAGCCGTGTCTTCTGACTTCAGCCGGTTCATAGAATCATAGAATCATAGAATCATAGAGTTGGAAGAGACCACAAGGGCCATCGAGTCCAACCCCCTGCCAAGCAGGAAACACCATCAGAGCACTCCTGACATATGGTTGTCAAGCCTCTGCTTAAAGACCTCCAAAGAAGGAGACTCCACCACACTCCTTGGCAGCAAATTCCACTGTCGAACAGCTCTTACTGTCAGGAAGTTCTTCCTAATGTTTAGGTGGAATCTTCTTTCTTGTAGTTTGGATCCATTGCTCCGTGTCCGCTTCTCTGGAGCAGCAGAAAACAACCTTTCTCCCTCCTCTATGTGACATCCTTTTATATATTTGAACATGGCTATCATATCACCCCTTAACCTCCTCTTCTCCAGGCTAAACATGCCCTGCTCCCTTAGCCGTTCCTCATAAGGCATCGTTCATTTGCAGATAGAAGGTGTAGGTGTCTTTAGAGGCTATGAATCGCCCTCAGATTGTAGGGGAATAATAATCAGTGTAACCATAGTGTACATAATGGACAAGCCATTCCAATCTTTCTCCAGGGTTTTGTCGGAACCAGCGCATCCAGTATTTGTCAGTATCAAACCCAGTGACTGCACAGGTCAACTTATGGGATTCTCCAGGTTTTTTCAATGCTGAAGATTCCGACTGGGTCAGAATTCTCTGTGTGAGGCCACCTAGAATGAGGGGGAAAGGAAGAAGAAATAGCTGTCATACAAAAGCCCATTATAAAACCTAGACTGAGTGAAGGAAGGAATACAATGAAAGCCCAACACACATGAGGAAGAGGCAGCGAGTGCAATAAGCATGGAAAAGAAAAACCGCATACGGGAACGATGGACTGGATTTCAAAAGGACCCTCTGTGACTTGCCAGGAAGTCTATGTGAAGTGAGAGGCTTTGAGGGCTTAAGTAGGAACTCATCATTCTCATGGCTTTGCATAAATCAGTGAGCATTGGAAGAGGGTGTATTAATAAGATCCAAATTTTCCACATACTTTTTCTAATGCATGCCTAAAACAATTGTGACATAGATTTGATTACATGCACCTCAGCAAATGTAAGAAACCCATATGATTCCTTGAATTAGATAGGTGTGTTTATATATAACCTATGGAAAGTACAGCGGAAGGTAGAGTTCTTTAAAAGAAAACAACATGGTCTTTTCCAGGAAGTCTTCTCTAAGTACCAAGGGAAAATACATGGTAGCTGTGGAGATTTTCTCCATCTTGACCTCCAGTGCTGACTTACTGGGTTGTATGTATCCCCCCACCACAAATGCTACATTACTGTGCTTGTGCCACATTTTGATCTCAAAGAAGCAGCTACTTAGGAAAGGGAATAAAGGAGCATTAGTGTATCCACCATGGCCAGCAAAGGGTGAAAGCAGGAGGAGGAAGGGACAAAAAGAAGTGGAGAGAGCAGGGAATAAAAGTGTGAGGGAGAGAGTAGAGGGGAGGGAACTGTGGAAAATGCAAGAAAGTTGAGGGAAGAGGAATTGCTTGGATGTGAGGGGTTGAGGAAGAGAAGACTGTAGAACAGAAGAATGCAAGAGAGAAGAGGAGAACTGTTCATTTATATGAGGGAGAGGTAAAGAAGAGGAAGAATTGGTGCCTTTATCAACCTCTGATTACTGCAGGTGGCGAGGAAGGATTTTATGTACAATTGGGAGTGTAGAAATGAGAGGACAGGGTACGAGTTGTGGAAATATGGTGGGCACAGAGGAAGTGACTGCCTTGAATGTTTCAGAACGGCTGTTTTCAACTGGAACAGGAAAACTGGAGCAATTCACTTTAGGCAGAATATACGCCAAAGAATGAAGGCTGTGTTCTGTAACTTGCTTTTCTAGTTTCTGGCCTTTTGCTGCCCCCTCTGGCAATTTGTCACCAAATCAAAGGCAGTGAAGGGTTTTTGTCTGAGGTCTACTGGGATCTCATTCACTGTGTCTCTGGCACAGTAATAGACTGCTGTGTCTTCTGCTTTCAGGTTGTTCATTTGCAGATAGAGGTTGGAGCTGTCCGTTGAGGCTGTAAATCGCCCTTGGATTGTAGGGGAATAATGATTGGTTCCAGCCTGATAGTACTCAATGAGCCATTCCAATCCTTTTCCAGGTTTTTGCCGGACCCACTCCATAATATAGTCATTAACATCAAATCCAGTGGCAGCACAGGTGAGTTTATGGGATTCTCCAGGTTTCTTCAATACTGGATCTGACTGCGTCAGAACTATCTGTGTGAGGGCACCTGGAATTGGAAGCAGGAAACAGATGAGACAGAAAAAGCAACAGCCCACATGAAACCCACATTAAATGAAGGAAGGAATAAGATGTAGATGTAAAGTTCAACGCACATGAGGAAGAGGCAGCCAGTGCAATGAGCATTGGCAATAAAGATGGCATAGTGATGCAATGCTCTGGCTCTGAAAGGGACTTAATGTGCTGTTCCAGGAAGTCTGTGTGAGAAGTGAGGCTTTGAAGGCTTAAGTAGGACGCCCAGTGTCTTGTAGCTTTGCATAAATCAGTGAGCATAAGAAGGGAGAGTATTAATATGGAATCCAAACTCTACACATCCTGCCTTCTCATCAAGTGTGCACTTAAAACATCTATGCCATAGATTCTATGCATGCACATTAACAAAATGATCAAACCCAAATTGCTACCTATATTAGATGATCCATGAATTTTTTGTATATGTTTTTAATGATAAAACAGCAGGGGATTTAAAAGGAAAAAAGAAAACAATATATGTTTCGGACTAATCTGAATAGACTAAGGATTCATCGTGGCTCAACTGCACTGGCTGCCAATTAGTTTCTGGGCCCAATTCAAAGTGCTGGTGCTGATCTATAAAGCCTCATGGCTCATGACCTCAATGAGTTAATGACCATCTCTCCCATATGAACCGACCTTGATCCTGTGCCTAACTTAGTTGGTGTCTAAGGTGCTACTGAAAGGATTTTTTAAATTTTTTTATTATTTTCTTTTGTTTATTTTCTTTTGTTTCTATTGCAGGGGTTAGGTTATGTCCTGCTTCCCCTCAATCAATCAACATAGGCCTACAGATCTGCATAAGAGGGCCTTACCTAAACATCCACTATTGCAGCCTAATGTGTGCCTTCAGTCTACAACAGCACAAAATGTCATGAGAAAAACTGCACTAGAAAAACTGTCTTCCTAGACATTGATAAAGGAAAATATCTTTTGTTTTGGAAAGAAGCTGACAAGCTCTCTCAGAGAAATGCACAGGTGGGGGAAATGAGGGGAGGGCACTGTCTCAGAGCTGTTCTTTTGCATCAGACAATATTAGTGTAACTCATTGCAGACTGGAATGTGGCCAATAAATTAAATCGTTGGACCATTGATCATTTCTGATTTGTTGCCTTTTGCTGCCCCCCCCCGGTCATTTCTCACAAAATGAAATGCAGTGAAGGGTTTTTGTCTGAGGTCTAGTGGGATCTCACTCAGTGTGTCTCTCGCACAGTAATAGACAGCCGTGTCTTCTGCTTTCAGCTTGTTCATTTGCAGGTAGAAGTTTGAGCTGTCGGTTGAGGCTGTGAATCGCCCTTGGATTGTAGGGGAATACCTATAATCTCTCCCAGCATTATAGTAGAGAACAAGCCATTTCAGGACTTCTCCAGGTTTTTGTCGGATCCAGCCCATATAGTCGTTGTTAACATTAAACCCTGTGACAGCACAGGTGAGTTTGTGAGATTCTCCAGGTTTCTTCAGTACTGAATCCGACTGGGTCAGAACAATTTGTGTGAGGGTGCCTGGAATAGGAAGGAAGAAAAAATAGCTGAAATACGAAAAGCAGCAGCCCACAGTTGTCACATGAAACTCATAATGAATGAATTAAGGAAGGAAAAAGACCTCAACATACATGGGAAAGAAGCAGCCAATGCAATGAGCACTGGCAGAAAAGACAGCATAATGGTGGGATAGTCTGGATGAGAAAGAGACGTAATGTGCCGTTGCAGGAAGTCTGGGTGCAGGGTGAGACTTTTAAGCCTGAAGAGGGAGACTACTTTTTGCAACTTTGCATAAATCAGTGAATATAAGAAGGGAGGAATCAATATAATATGGAAACATATATCTGGCCTTTTCTTCAAGTGTGCATTTAAAACATCTATGCCATGTATTATAAAGAATGCATACTAACAAGGGTTTCAAACTAGAAGGGTAACATAGGTATACTACAAAACGACTTTTTACAAAAGGACCGGAGATTTTTTTAAATGATGAAAAAAGAATATGTGTATCAGTCTGGTTCAAATGGAA